TCAAGTTCATGCAACTAGTGTTTAGTTTAAAAATAATAATTGAAGGAAGCTGATCAAGGTCAGACTTGGTCCTCTGACAACTTTTAAATAAATTTCCTTCTATTTTCTTTCATATTTTGAGACCCTTACTACTGGCTTTACTATCAAGCAGGTGATAGTCTCTGTTTCATCTCCTTGTGGTAATGACAGAAGGCTCCAACATTTATTCTAGTTTTCATAGACAGCGTACTGATGCAATAGCCCCAAGCAAATTGAACCCATCCTAAGGTTTGTTACTAACTTACTGAGCCACTTTGAATAAGTTTTTGAACCTTTCTTTTCTTTAACATAATTTTGGTTCCTCAGATTCCCTGGTATCTGAATGCTCTCAAGACACATAATTAGATAATGTTCTATAAAAAGCTGAAAGTGCTAAAATTTAATGTTTTTTAAACACTATGCATATACTGTTTTTATAGTTTGATTTTTTTGTACAATTTCTCTTATCCTCTGCATAAATTATTCCTCTAGTTTCTTAAGTAGCCAGAGAAAGAGACCAGAATGAAAGAAATCAATATATTTAAGTGAATGAAAAAAGATCTTAATAGCAAAGGCATAAACTGGACTTGAATGAAAAAAAAAGTAATTTTAGTTTTTTTAAATTCAAGATGCCAAATATTTTAGGTATTACTTTTAAAGTTAAGAAATCAGACAATAGCACTTGTAATTATCATGTAAAATAATAATGCATTACATTATAAACAGTATAAACAGTATATTTTGGTGAAAGAGAGTTCAATGATAAGCTTTCTTTTTCCTTAGTCATTGGCAAGGTTAGCAAAACCTAGGTAGATATCTGCAATTACACATCTTCGAAGGTTAACGGGTTTCAGCAACTACTGTAGTTGATAAAAGATCCAAATGCAATAGTAAGTCCACAAACTTACCAGGTATCATTTAAAAATAACCTGAAAGAGAGTTTTATAGTAACATATTGAATTGAAAGACCAGGTGATTGAGATATATTAGAATATTAATAATATATTTTTGAAGGGATAAACAGTTCTACTGGAGTTAACCTATCTTGGCTCTAAAAGTCCAGGGAGCAATTTTTAACTTCAGGGGAAAAAAAAACCCACTAAGAAATGTTGCCAATAACTTTAAGAATATTCCCCATTCATGTGGAGAGGACTTCAATTTCAAAGTCTAAGCAAAAATTTCAGAAACACACACACACAACGACAAGGGGATAACTGTAAGAGGTGTAACACTGCCTGCTTTACATTGATTATAACACTGCAGTCATTGAAGGAAGTTTTCTCTAGCAATTTTTTTTGTGTTATGTGAAATGGCCATTAATTATCTAGTACAGTGCATGCTGTAAGGAAGACACAAAGAGGGATTCCAGAGCACAGTGATTCGATTACTAAAGAGAAAAACAGTAGGCGCTTCACAATTTACTGGATAGAATAGACAATTTTATAACAATCATATCTTAACTGGCTTCAAATTTCAGCTAGCATTCTGTATAACAACTCCGGAACACTTTTCTGCCCTGATTCTAATAGTTGTCACAAAGGATTTTGGGCAAATGTGTTATCTTCCGTACGTCCAAGGACTCCAATTATCTCCGTAAATGACGTTTAGTGATCAAGATTCCCCCTCAATCTTTACTGCCACCTGTCCATACTCTTGGACACGCGCACGTCAGTAAACACGCGCGCGCGCTCTGAGCATTCGCCCCAAAATAGTTGAAATAAAGGTTCAAAAACACAGACACACATCAGTGTTTCCCCAGTGTATTTAATCTCAAAAAATACAGTGTATGCTACACACACACACACACACACACACGCAAATAATGGTAAATAAACTCCAAAAGTTTCTGGCTAGGTTAGGATGGGACGTTTGCTGAGTCAGAGTTGATCTTTTTTGTCTTATAGCCTTGGGGGCACTAACCAGGAGTCTTCTTTTTTCTACCAAGAAAGAGTTCGCTTTTCCACCTCGGTTTCGTGCTGGTCGCGTCCTACCCCTCTCTCCTTCCCACCTCAGTTTCCCTAGTCCTACGAGGGGCACACACCCTAAAAGAGTAAAGCTCCGTTCCTTCTCCCGGTCTTTAAACTTATTGGAAGGACGTGGAAGTCTCCGCGCAGGTTCTGCGCGGAGTTCTCATGCTCCCGCTTCTGGTCTCCAACTTTCCCTGCTCGCTTTCTCCTGACAACTGAACTTTCCGCTCCGCAGCGAACCGTGGGGACAAAGAGAACTGTGAAAGCCGGGGAAATGGCCATTTCTACCCCGAAACTGACAAGTTACCCCACTCCCGCCCCCTCTGGGTAGATCCTCCCCCGGGGACGTTCATTAGCATAAAACTGGTCTGGCCGGGCTCCGGGTCCTCGGGCCTCCAGGATTCGCGCGCTTGGCGGGGATGGGGAAGCCACCACTCAGGCTCCAGGACAGGACAGGGATCCAAAGAGCATCCCAGCGCAAAGCCCGCACCTGCTCATCCGTGAGCTACTAACCTTAAATTTAAGAGAGAGAAGAGAAGACAGAGAAGAAGAAAGAGAAGAATAGAAAGAAAGAAAGGAAGAAAGAAAGAAAGAAAGAAAGAAAGAAAGAAAGAAAGAAAGAAAGAAAGAAAGAAAGAAAGAAAGAAAGAAAGAAGAGAAAGAAAAGAAGAGAAAAGAAGAGAAAAGAAAAGAAAAGAAAAGAAAAGAAAAGAAAAGAAAAGAAAAGAAAAGAAAAGAAAGAAAAGGCAGTTTGTTGAGAAAGAGAGCGAGCGAGGGAGAGAGTGAGAGCTGTGGTCTTGCTTGCCCAGGTCTCCAGTTCAGCTTCCCAGGGTCACAGGCCCCCGATCGCCTCCCCTTACAGAAGAAAACCTGCCGGCCCCCTTGCATCTGCCCCGGGGTAAACGTATTATCTGCTTTGCACACGCACACGCTCACACGCGGACACTCGCACACATGCGCGCACACACAGACCCCTCCCCTCGGCAGGCTTCCCTTCAGGGTTTGGGGCTGAACTCGCCCGGGTCCCCCGGGATTGCCCGGGGCCCATGGCCTCTGCGGTCCTCCCCCTCCCGACCTCCGAGTGGCCCACTCCCGAGACGACCTTTCCGGCCCCTCACCCAAAGCGTGTCCTCCGGCTCCCCGAGCCCTGCCTGGCAGGGTCACGACCTCCCCCGCCCCCCGGACACCACTCGGTGCCGCAGACGAGCCCGGCCGGTGTCCCTGGGCTCCCGGTGCAGTCCGGGTCCGAGGGAGCGCGCACAAGGGCAGCGCGCTGAACCGGGACCCCGGATGCTGGGGCGCCCCGGGGAGGGACTGTGTCTCCTGGAAAGGCACCGTCCCCCTCCCTCCCCTCCCCT